CAGTACTAACCTGTGAAGTTGGCGCCTTGATGCAGGTACCACGAAGATGGAGCTGGAGCGATGGCGCCACAGGTAAGTAACACTGGCCTCCGCCAATCTCTCTCCCACTCTACGATCTACCACCTACCAGCGCCCAGCGCTGAAGACTACAACTACAGCTATGGCGCCCAGCGCCGAAGACTACAGCTAGCGCTAATACCTACTGCCTAGCGCTGAAGACTACTCCAACGCTCCTCCTGAGTGTTGCGGCCGGAATCCTGAAGACTACTCGTGCCTACTGAACTCTACCTACCCGTGAAGTGCATGGGAACTTCCTATGTACTACGGGTGTGCCTCCTGAGCCTGCCGAAGGGAGGCAGGGGCGGCAGCTGCAGCTCCTGCTCAAACTCGTGAGGAGCAGGCTATTTCTGGCCTGTTCCTCATCCCTGTTTACGTGCCTGAGTCTTAGGGGCAGGTCGAAACAATGAGGGCCTGAAAATGGCCCTCCGTTTCAGGCTGAAAACTTTGGGTCTGAAAAGACCCAGAAATAGGCTGAAACGGGGTAGGGCCTGCAGGCCCTCGTTTTTCAGCTTTCAGGCTGAAACGAACGGGGCCTGTAAGCCCTAAGTTTTAGGCTTTTAGGCTGAATGTCCGGGACGGGCCCTGCAGGGCCCGTGTGGCTACGCAGTATGCCACACACCCCCCTCCTTGAAGAATCGAGCTTACCTGCGAGGGCGAAGCTGTCTGTCTTAGGGAGGGCCCACAGCCCGGGTGGGAGGGGCTGGTCGTGAAGCTTCCTGAGCTAACCTGCGCTTTTCATAATGCGCGTAGATCAGTGGTGCGGATGCTTTCAAATCTGCGCCTGAAATCCACCGAGTGTCGTCGCGATCGCATGCTTTGAATGTGACTTTGTACTGCCGCGGCTTGCTGCCGTACTTGCGATCGGAGATGACGCGGTCAACTTCCTGGTGGCCATCCATAGAAGGAGGGTCCTGCGATCGTCGGTCCGGAAAGTCGTCGCTCTTGGTTGGCGTGTATGTTGCCAGCTTCGAGGCGTGGAAGAYCGGATGGACCGTCAGATGCTCTGGAATGTTGATCACAAATGAAGGGCCATCGGGCTCATCGCCCGCGGTTGCGGTCACCGACCAAGGTCCAAACCACTTGGGAAGCAGTTTGCGTGAAACATCCTGTTCCAGTGCAAACTCTTCCGCGGAGACCCAAACCAGATCACCGGCGCGGATGGGACATGGTACGCGACGCCTGTTGGCTTGCTGCTGCATGCGGACTTGAGCCTTTTGCATATTTGCGCGGGCTTGAGTCGGCAATTCCCTGTACTTCCGAACGGAAGCGGGAGAGCAGGCAGCGTCGATGTCGGCTGGTCGAGGGAGGAGAAGGTCTGCGAAGATTTGGCCTTTCCGTCCACCGTGGTGCAACTCGAATGGAGTTACGTCGATCGCCGGATGCACCGAAGTGTTGTAGGCGAACTCGATGTCGGGGAGGCGGTCAACCCAATCTTTCTGGTCCGGACGGATGAGCGTACGAAGCATCATTTGAGCGGTTTGATGTGCCCGCTCCGTCTGCCCGTCTGTCTGAGGATGTCGAGCCGAACTTGGTTTCATTGTTGTGCCGGACTCCTGCATGAGAGCAGTCCAAAACGCCGACGTGAAACGAGTGTCGCGGTCGCTGACAATGTCTTCTGGTACACCGTGGCCACAAATCCAACCAGTGTGCAGGAGGCGTGCCAGCTCGGAGCCGTGGAGTAGTACTTGCAAGGGAGAAAACGCGCGTACTTACTCAATTGGTCCACAACCGTGAGGATGTCGTGGTGCCCGAGCCGGTCGCGAGGAAACGGACCGGTGACGTCCATGGCAATGGAGAGACCGGGTTCCCGTGGGATAGGCATCGGGTGTAACTCGCCGTAGGGATTGTGGTTGCAAAGCTTGCTGCGTCGGCAAACTTCGCAAGAGTCGCAATACCAAGTGACATCGGTAATGAGGTCGGGCCATCGGAATCGCTGTCGAAGCCGTGCAATAGTGCGGTTGACTCCGAAATGGCCGGCGAGTCATGAATCATGATACTCGCCGAGGAGGCGAGTCCGAAGACGACGGTCGCGTGGGACACATAGTAAGTCCTTGCCTCTCGAGTGGAGGAGCAAGTACTCGTCGGCAATGCGGTAATGGCTGGTCGGCGGGTGATCCAAAGATAGTTGTGCATAGAGCGTGCCGAAGTCCGGATCAGACTCATATGCCTGGATGAAGTGTCGCTGAAGCTCCTCGTCGAATGCGAAGGCATGATGTGTCATAGCGCAAAGACCTGGTCTTCGCGAGAGTGCATCTGCTGCGCGATTTGAGAGGCCGGGTAGATGTTTCGGTGTGAAGTCAAACTGGTCGATGAAGTACATCCATCGTCCCATCGTGCTGCTCACCGTATCCTGCGTCTTGTAGTAGGTCAATGGATTGTTGTCCGTAACCCATGTGAACCTACGACGCCCAAGGAGGAAGTGTCGCCATCGCTTGTGAGCCATGACGAACGAGAGTAGCTCCTTCTTCCTTGCATCATCAAGCAAGTTGATGGGAGGCACTTTGTGGCTGAAATACTCCACAGGGTGCCAGTCGTCGCCGTCGTGCTGTTCCAAGACTGCCCCAATGTCGTAGCCGGAAGCGTCCGTAGTCACTCTCGTCGGCAAGGTGGGGTCATAGATGTTGAGGACGGGTGCTATGCGCATGGCCGTCTTAAGTGCTTGGAATGACCGGCGTGCGTCGTCATCGAATACGAATGGCACCTTTGGCGACTGTAACCTCGTCATAGGTGCAGCAATCCTGGAGTATCCGGTGATGAATCGCTGATAGTAGCCCGCCAATCCCATGAATGAACGAACGTCCGTGGTGTTGGTGGGCTCGGGCCATACTCGTAGGGCCTCGATCTTGTTTGCGAGCGGACGGATGCCTTGCGACGTCACATAATGGCCCAAGTACTCCAGCTCCTGCCGCGCGAATTCACACTTGTCGCGGTTGGCTTTGTACTTGGCCTGTCGTAGCCGCTCCAAAACGGTGCGCAGGTGTTCCACGTGCTCCTCCAAACTCCGGCTGCACACTAGGATGTCGTCGAGATAGATAAGTACGTATCGATCCAGCATGTGTCGGAACTCCGTTGTCATAGCCGCTTGGAAAGTGGCCGGGGCATTCGTAAGGCCAAATGGCATAACCAGCCATTCGAAATGCCCATATCGCGTCTTAAACGCGGTCTTGTAACGGTCCTCCTTGCGAATCTCGAGTTGGTGGTACCCTGACTTGAGATCCAGCTTGGAGAAGAACTGGGCGTCGCCCAATCGCTCGAGAAGATCATCGATGCGTGGGAGAGGGTCGGCGTTCCTGATCGTCTGCGCGTTGAGCTTGCGATAATCGATGCACAACCGC